CTCCCCGAAGCTCAGGACGGGCACGAGCTGGGGAACCACATGCTCAAGGATGAGGGCTGTTGGTCGATGAGCCCAGAAGATTTTGAGGCTGAGGGGATATCACGAAAGGAAGCCTCAAGGAGGCTAGCTTGAGTTTGTCCTTGCGTTAGCAAGGACTGAGGGGTCTGGGGGCCAATGAAGTATCGCCTCCGCCTGCCTGATTGGCAGCTTCGCTCCTTTTTCCGATCTTATCGCCGCTCTTTTTGCTCGCTTCGCTTCACACTTCGGTCCGCTTTTCGCACCGTTTTGCTCTTGTGTTTCAAGGCCGGTCCTCCCAGTCAAGTCGTGGCGTATTCCAAAGTTGATATGGGACACTCAGTGCACGTTTGCTTCATACTGGGTTACGCACACTTATACCGTGCTGGTACCTCAGTTTTGGCACCAAAACCTTCAGACTTTGTCTCGGGACGTTCCAAGTGTCGCGTCTCCCCTTCTCAAGTCTCCAGTCCAGGTGTCGAGGTTCAGCTTTCTCGTGGTGTGCTTCTGCCCTGAACCAAGCCGCTTTGCAACGGTTATGTACTCATACCTTTTTTGGGGCAGAGGGGTATGAACAGCAGCACACCGTTTGGGTCAGTGACCTCACATGGGTTCTTGAATCGTGTCTCTACAGAGAGGCGGCCCTGCGCGTCGCCTCCGCGGCAGTGGAGGCCCTGCAGGCCGCGCCGCGGTGGTTCCGTGCGCCGCGGCCCGGCGAAAGCAACGGAAAAAAAGCGTGGGTGGCTCTCGTCTCCTTTTGGAGGGACCTCCCACAAAAATGGGATTGGGGGGACCCGCCACAAGAATTGGGAGAGAAGGGATGAGATATTCGTGTAGACTCTCTGTTGAATTGATATATGGGTGTGGGTCAACATCAAACCACCGGGAATTGGACCGCAGGTTTTGGTCCATGTTTCCACTTACCACGGTTCCGTTTGGGGTACATATTTTTTGACCCACAGCCAAATGGCGGGTGCCCCTTCGGCGTTTCCCTTTCAAACAGGGATGGGTGGATGGATGGCTGGCTGGCTGGCCGGATGGGTGGGTGGGGGGTGTGGTCTACCCAACAGGTTGGTCTTGAACAGGTCTTAAGACGTTTGCCCAGGGTCTTTCGGTTTCAGTACAGCCACCCTTTTTAGTCCCTTGCATGGTTCTGCGTTGACCATTTGAATACCAGGTTTTGATCATGACTCACTTGTGCGGACTGAGATAGAACTTGCAGAGACGAATTAGCGGCGTGCGCTTTGGTGTTCTTGTAAAGGGACAACACAAGGACAGCCACCCATTTTGGGTGTCCCGTCTATTTTGACACACCCATCCACTTGTGGAGTGGAATGCCTGGGGGGGGGGGGTCTGATTCTTTTTGTGAGTTTTGAGGGCCTGTCAACCCCGGTCTTTTGGGGTAGCCTTTCATTTCAAAGATTCTTTTAGTGTGACCGCTGGTGTACTCTTCTTCTACAAAAATGCACATGGGTCTGTGTCAATATAGGAGAACTAACGCCCTTTTGGGGTGTCCCAAAAACAAACACCACCTCATCTAGTATCCATTTTCTGGTTCAGCGCAGCCATTCTTTTGGTTTCTCTCCTTTACTTTATGGGAAACCGGCGTTGGCATAGGCGTCCTTTTTAGGTTCGTTTGGGGTTTTGTTAAAACTAGATAAATTCCACTGGTTTTGGGTTTTGTTCCATTGCCCAGGGGAACCCATTGATTTTTACCCAAAAGGCCACTCCGATGAACTGAAGGCAGGGCATCCTCACCGACTCCATGCGCTTGGCCGTGCAGCGCTGCGGCATGCAGCACGCCCTGCGCTGAGTGGCACTCGAACCGCGCCCACCAGCCGCGCCCACCTGCCACCGAACCGGGTTGTCCCCATTAAAATTGGAGGCTGTTGGGCCGGCTTTGGTTTAAAATGGGCAAGGCCTATGTGGAGCCCTATAACCATTTTGGTAGAAGCATCCAGGACTATGGATCTGCAAGAACCAGGGCAAGAGGTTACGACTTTTTGCCAGAAGGGCGAGAATGGAAATCCCACTTTGTTACAGAAAGACGAAGATTATTCGCAATTTATGAAGACCAGACTTCGCCGGGCTCCCTGAACCGGGTTCTTGTTGAGAGGCAGACTTATTTTGAGTGAGTGTTTGAGTGATTGATTGACTTGATTGATATGAGTGATATGACTGATATGATTGACCTAATCTGCGTGGGGCTTTTTGAAAGACCCGAGGCTCCGCGCGGAATGAGGAAAAAAATCTCCCGCGATCTCAGGTCCTGGGGGACTGCTACTGCGACGACTGGGCCATCGAGGACGCCGAGTTCATCGCGGAGACCATGCTGCGGCAAGCCTCCAGCGGCTCCATCGCCGCCCGTTTGGCAACGGACGAGACTCGAAGGGCTCAAGTGCCGAAGGGGAAACCAAAGGGACACCCCCCCCTAAGAACTCCCTGACTTCTTGGTCACAGACTTGATGGTGTTTTGTGGGTTGGCCATCCCTGAAGTGCTAGTTTTACCCCGGATTTCTTGAGCTCGGATTCGGAATTGATCCCCCCCAAATCCGCGTGAAAGGAACTGGGAGGGTACCGGATTCCCCCCAACCTCCAAGCCACAAAACGACGAAATGGTGATTGAACCCTGGTTGATGAATCTGGAGTCAACAGAAAGGGATATCTAGGCTTTCAAGTGTGTCTTAGGTCCCCATCCAAGGATTCCATTCAGGGGTGCGGTGTCGTTTTTTTGGTTGTTGAAACCCTAAGACCCCAGGATCCCAAACGGCTTGTCACAACAGGAGTTCCTATGCGCGCTTTGAACTCTCATTTGCGCGCCACGTTTAGATGAGTCTCCCCGTGGTGGGATCATGCTTCAGGGCAACTCATGGGAGGCCTGCTCAGCATCAGGGTGGGCGCTCGATTCATTTGTAGCTTTTCACGGGAATGGACGAAGCCGCGCGTCCTTTGCGCAGGCCATTTTTCACATGCCGGAGAAGGGCTTTCGCGAGCATACGCTTGAGGCGCGTCCAGTTTCATCTGTCTACTTTGATGGTCTGGGACGAATCGCTTGACGGTAGGTAACCCTGGCTATAGGGGACTTACAACCATGGCTTTGGTTGTTCACAACAGGGTCACTAACCACTTAGCGATTCCTCTCAGACCATCTAAGTAGGAAATGTGGGAATGAACCCAGGCGTTGGTCCCCTAAAAGGCAACCATCCTTCTGGCCAAGTCACCTGGTGATCTCACGGATTTCGGTTCGCTGAGGTTGCCTTTCTGAGGCCTAAGATCATAAGTCACCAGGCTCGGGGGAGCTGGAGCCTTCACATCTTGAAGCTGCATGCCACGCACGGATCGCCGTGTGAGGCATTTTTTTCCCCCAACCCGCTCTTGTCGCTCTGCCCGGTTTTCGGGGCAAACTGGCAATATTCTCCTCTCCACAGGTTTGCCTGGCCAGTCCGTGGTGTCTACATCTCAGTGGGTCTTCCTGGTTCCCGGTGGGAGAAACTCATGCTTTTTGGCTCTCTTGGTTGGTAGAAAGGAAACCGTTGCCATTGTAGGAAATGGAACCCTGACCCCCGCTTCCCGCCCTCCAGTTCGGTTTTTCAGACTTGAACCCATTTGACACCATCCAAGCGGCTGAAATAGGTACCCAACAATGGGAGTCCTTTTTGTGAGAACTTTTCTGGTGGGTCCAACGCTGGTGGCTACACCAAACAGCTGGTGTAGGTGGCTACGCTCTCAAGATCATTTTGTAGGTCTCCCTGTCCCTTGTGGCTCTTGAGCTGGGCCTTTTCCTCCAGTTCCGCTTTAAACCACCACCACCCCTTTCGGCTTTTCTTAAGAAAAAAAGACCCCTGGCGACTCCTGGGTCCTTTTTTCGGCGCTTTTTTTTCGGACAGCTCGGCGAAATCCTCTAGGCGCTGCGAATGTTCCTGGAGGGCCTCGAGCTGCGGCGGCTGCGCTGCGCCTCCCTGTCGCGCCTAGACGCGGCCGCGGCCGCGGCCGCTCCGCGTAGGCTGCGGCGGTAAGCGGCGGCGGCGGGAGCCGGAGGTGAGCCCTGGGTGAGGAGCGGGTTTGAGGGGATGCACAGGTGGGGTTGTGGGTCAAAAAACATGGTCAAAAATATGGCACCTTGGTAAATGGCACCAAAGGCTACCACCTTCGTAAGCCTAGGCCACAACCATATCCCCTGAACTTAGTTTTGAGGGGAAGTGGATTCTTTTGTGGTTTCGCTCCAACTTTGTTCCGGCGTTCGGCCGAGCGTTGTCTTTGGGCGCCGACTTTTTGCAGAGCCACTACAGGGCAACCCATCTTGGCGGTCTGCGTCCCATTTTGAAACAAACTCAGGTGGGCGATGGGCTGTGCCTCACGGCCAAAAGAAACTCCGAGACTGGACTGACGTGGAGTGCATTTGGATCTCTTGGATTTTCAGCAAATCCACTTGGACGTCTGCTTGGAACGTGAAGATGCAGACGGTCGAGTGAGGGGTGTGAACAGTCGAGAGCCTGGAGAGAGGGCGGGCTGGCTGCAGCGACTGGAGCGTGGTGAATCCAACTTCAGTGGTGGAGGGTGAGATGGCGACGTGGAAGAAGGTGCACCCGCATTGACATTCGGGCTTGTGGATGTCGAAAGCCTGCTTGCTAGCGTCCCAAGAACTTGATCGGCACCGGTCCCCGCTCTTGCCGGACTACTTGGTTACGCAAGAGCTGCGCCTGACTTCCAACGTGATCGGCCGCGACGGGTGCTGCGGCCGGCTCTGTGAAGGCATTTTCGTGGTGGCGAACAGCTGGCCGTCTCTGAGGTGTTTGCTGCGGGAATCAGAAAAGGCTCCTCCTTGGTGGAGCTCCCGCACCCAGACGCCCAGTAGAATCCACCCTTGTTTCCTCCCAGCTGAGCTTGTGAGTGAATCAGGCACTCTTAAAGTCTCAAAGGGTGCGTTCGCTTTGTTTGGATGCGATCGCCCAACGAAGATGCGGCTGGGTGTTCTGCGCTCCAAGGAATGAGGTCTGCCAGTTGATCGGTCTGCCGGCGCCCTAGGCAGGCTGACCCACCGACGGCTCTGGGTGATTTTGATGTAAGCAGGCGACCAGTTCTTCTCCGGGACCCTCAACAGGTTGGTTGGGGGTGGGAGGCCCTTTCTCTGACAAACAGAGTTTTTTTTTTGGGGGGGGCCCTTTTTTGGACACATCCATTCAACCTCAAGAGTTGCAGAGCGACGGACCATCGCTTGAAAGCCTGAGCATTCAAATTTTGCGAGGGAGAACTGTGGGAGCCACCCAACCAAAAGGAACATGTTTGGATACCTGGCAAACTGCAGCAGGTGCCTACTGGTTCCAAACTGAATGGCCCACATGGCCATGAGCCTTGCCTCATCGCGGACATTGGGGTGCTGAAAATAGAACGCCCTCCGATTTTCTGGCCGGAAAAAAGGGAAACAGGAAGGAAGGCCCACCATTTTGAGCTTCGGGTCCCAACATGCGAGAAATGCTCGGGTCCCATTTGTGTAGTCAGTGCGGGAAACTTTGGGGCGTGGGGCCGGCGACCCCCAAGTCCTCCGCAACGGGTAGTATTATCGGGTTTCTAAAGTGAGGGACCCTCCTTGGGGTGGTTTTTGTAGGGTACCCAAAAGGAACACACTAACCATTTTGGGGTACTTGCTCTTTTTTAAGATATGTGACCGGGGAGCAAACGAAGCCGATCGGTTTCACAAATCCGCCTAAGGCTCGCGCACTTGCTCTACTGGCTGGCCTTTGGCTGCTGCAGAAGGCCTGACCACCTCTGTGATGACCGTGGATCAAATGCCGGGTTTCTGTTTTTGTGTTTTTTTTTTCCTTTGCGGGGCGGTGAGGGGGGGATCTGCAACCCCGAGCGCTGAAATGGCCCCCGCTACAGTGGGTTGCACCATATTCTAAAATCCCGGGATCAAAGCTCCACAGAGACGTGAAAGCATTGTACCGGCTTGGATGGCGAAGGGGCTAAAGCCAGAAGAACCCATTGGTTCGCAAAATCGCAGCCACCGGTTTTCCCTTTCGGTTTCCCCCGCTCGAAGCGCCTCTTTTTGGACGCCTTTCGGATCGAGTGCTTTTCGTTTGCTCCCCGAGTCCTGGGCTCCCGCGCTTGGGCCAGCGCATGCCTCAGACGGTGAGATGTGTCACAGAACTCCAGGAGAGGAGGTTCCACAATGAGGTCATACGAAAAACAAAGCACCCGCTTCTTTGTACTTTTTTTTCAGGACTTCCACTTGTAGCATCTTTCTTTTTTTTTGACCGGGAGCTTGATCTATGGCGAGGCAAAACGAGCGATCGGCCATGCCCCGATTTTTTTCCGGTGCGAGTCGTGGAATCCGGTCTAGCCGGGTAGTTCGTCAGGGAAAAAGTTGGCATGGGTGTTTCTGAAAAGCGGAAAGGCTGGAGACCAAAGAGGTTCCCCTGACATGGCCTGAGAGCCATCCGACTGGTGCGGCCATGTTCAGAAAAACATCGCGTGTTTGTTCTGGGCTGTGAGCCACGGGAGTGTCTTCGCATCCGCAAGACCAGATGGCCAGGTGGTGTCCCTTGTTGTTTCTGACTAGGGTGTGTGTCCAAATAGGGGACCCCAACATGGTGGTTTTATCCAAAAAACGGCTCTTTCACCTTATTTTTTTTGTTTTTTTCCTTAGTTTCCCTTTCACATCACCAAACAACTGTTCTTAAAAATAAATACAAAAAGCAAAACAACACAATACACAAGTGGACTACGAGGATTGATCCCGTCCCGGGTTCGCAATGAGCCGGCACGTCTCACCGCCGCAGTGCGGAAGGCAACCAAAGGCAGCACCATCTTGTGGGCCAAATACCCACCAAAACTCCTGTAGCTGGTGTCTTGGACCCCTTGTAGTTGGCCATGAATTTGAATTAAGGAACCCCCTGGAAAGCGGTTGGTGGACATAGAACCCCACCGAATTTTGATGTCGGCCAGAGGGTGCCAACTTGAAATTAGTGGCCGGTTCACGTCCCGCGCATATTGTTTTTGCAACTGCGTCATGGTGTTAGATGCGGGACATGCATCGGGCAGGTTCTTATGTTAAATGCAGACGCCCTGGTGGGGTGGATGAATGGAGAGCCTCTGTTTTGACCCAGAACCTGGTTTTGGGCCCAACCACAAGGTCAACCGGACGCACACCTGTTGGGGCTGGGAAAACAGGGTCCAGGGTTGGGCAGCATTTGTTGAACCAATCCCTGGTCCCTTTGAAGAGAAGCCAAACGAAGTTTGTGCAAACAAGAATCTGGGGGGCCAAATGTTTACATGGGATGAAGAGATGTGGGGGGCCAAATGTCTACATGGGATGAATGCCCCAACCCTGACAGGGTGCCTCACAAGTGGACCTCGTCGGTGCGCGACCTTAGGCACGCCCTTCAAGGCCTGGTCGCCGCGGCGCACGAGTCCGACAGCTCAGCATTGGGCAGATGTGACGGTAGACGCTTGTGAAATGGGGTTTCTGCTGGGTTTTCTCCAGACAGCTGAAAGCTGTACGTGTTTTTTACCAACAACGAGCCGGGCCTTACCTGCAACGAGGGGCAGGGTGTTTTGCGAGTTCGGGCCAGGTTGGTGCTGCAGATGCTGTTTGAGTGTTTGAGCGCGTCAAGATGCTGTGGTCTTTGCTGGCGCCTCTTTTGCGATGCAGTCAGATTGCCGGCCTTGGTTGCTGGCCTTGGTGCTGTTCTGGGTGCTCAGGGTTGCAGTCACAGCTTCTTGTCAGGGTGCTGCTTTAGGGATCCGGTGTTTGTTTTTTTTCTTCCTAGGGCTGTTTTTCCCCAGATAGCTGAAAGCTATAGGGGTTCTAACTTCTAATAAAGAGGGGAAAGTGATTTGCGAGATTGAGGGCCGGGTGCTAGGGGGCATGCAGTTTGAGGTGCTGGTGGATGCTGCTTTGCGAGCTTGACGGCCGGGTGCTAGGGGGCATGCAGTTTGAGGTGCTGGTGGATGCTGCTTTGCGAGATTGAGGGCCGGGTGCTAGGGGGCATGCAGTTTGAGGTGCTGGTGGATGCTGCTTTGCGAGCTTGACGGCCGGGTGCTAGGGGGCATGCAGTTTGAGGTGCTGGTGGATGCTGCTTTGCGAGCTTGACGGCCGGGTGCTAGGGGGCATGCAGTTTGAGGTGCTGGTGGATGCTGCTTTGCGAGATTGAGGGCCGGGTGCTAGGGGGCATGCAGTTTGAGGTGCTGGTGGATGCTGCTTTGCGAGCTTGACGGCTGGGTGCTAGGGGGCATGCAGTTTGAGGTGCTGGTGGATGCTGCTTTGCGAGCTTGACGGCCGGGTGCTGGGGGGCATGCAGTTTGAGGTGCTGGTGGATGCTGCTTTGCGAGCTTGACGGCCGGGTGCTCGGGGGCATGCAGTTTTTTGAGGTGCTGGTGGATGCTGCTTTGCGAGCTTGACGGCCGGGTGCTAGGGGGCATGCAGTTTGGGGTGCTGGTGGGTGCTGCTTTGCGAGCTTGACGGCCGGGTGCTAGGGGGCATGGGGGGCATGCAGTTTGGGGTGCTGGTGGATGCTGCTTTGCGAGCTTGACGGCCGGGTGCTAGGGGGCATGCAGTTTGGGGTGCTGGATGCTGCTTTGCGAGCTTGACGGCCGGGTGCTAGGGGGCATGCAGTTTGGGGTGCTGGTAGGTGCTGCTTTGCGAGCTTGACGGCCGGGTGCTAGGGGGCATGCAGTTTGAGGTGCTGGTGGATGCTTCTTTGCGAGATTGAGGGCGGGGTGCTATGCAGTTGGGGGTGCTTGTGGGTGCTGCTTTGCGGGTGCTACGGGGCATGCAGTTTGGGGTGCTGGTAGATGCTGCTTTGCGAGCTTGACGGCCGGGTGGGGGGCATGCAGCTTCGGGTGCTGGTGGATGCTGTTTTGCGAGCTTGACGGCTGGGTGCTGGGGGCATGCAGTTTGGGCTGCTGGTGGATGCTGTTTTGCGAGCTGGCCGGGTGCTAGGGGGCATGCAGTTTGGGGTGCTGGTGGATGCTGTTGTGCCAGCTTGACGGCCGGTTCTAGGGGGCATGCAGTTTGGGGTGCTGGTGGATGCTGCTTTGCGAGCTTGACGGCCGGGCTAAGGGGCATGCAGTTTGAGGCGCGGGTGGATGCCGGGTGCTAGGGGGCATGTTTGGGGTGCTGGTGGATGCTGTTCGCGTGTAACGGTTCGTGGCTGGTGTATCGTCATGATGTTCCCACGTTATGGTGTGTGGGTGTAGTGGCGCCGTGATGCTGTCAACATCAGGATGATGCAGAATTTCATCAAGCTGTCGCAAGATGGTTCGTGGCTGTGGTATCATCATGATGCTGCCTTTACCATCAGGAGGATGCTGTTCGCATCACCATGATGCTGTCCGCATCACCATGATGCTGTCCGCATCATCATGATGCTGTCGAACTCATCAGGACGTTGTTTTTGCTTTTTTCTGCCGGATTGCTCTCAAAATCATCATTATGCTGCTGATCTCATTAGGACGTTGTCTGCGCGTTTGTTTCGTGGCTGTGGTGTCATCATGGTCTACATCATCATGATAATGCTGCGTCATGGTTCGTATCCGTGGTGTGCTATCTGGGGTCTATGCTGGTGTTATTTGTTTTACTAGGGCTGGTCCCCTGATTGGTTGGTTGGTTGGTTGGTTGGTTGGTTGGTTGGTTGGTTGGTTGGCTGGCCGCATCCCCGGCATCACCAGCCCCACTTGGCCTTGGGGTTATTGGCTCTGATTTCATGGCAGTTTGGAGTTTCTGGGGGCTGGTTTAAGTCAGGGGGACTTTTGGCTGGCTTAGATCTTCATGAGGGTGGGTCTTGGGGTGGTTTGGGGGTTGATTTAGGAGAAGCGAAGGGCTGACATCCAGGCTGCAGTTGGGCGGGTTTAGGCGCGCAGCCCTAGATTAACAGAACAAAAACCACACCGTTACCGCTGTTTTGGGTGGAGGGTGCTTTTTGATATGTGCGGTGACGGTTGCTGACGGTACTTGTTTTTGGCGATGCGTGTTCAAGGTGCCAAGGGATCAACAGCAACAACAGCAGTATACCACCGAGGGTGTGGTCGTTGCTGTGGGTGTTGTTTGGCGATGAAGTCGGGGTGCTGGTCAGGGTGGTGCTGTAGTCCCCATCCTATTAGGGGCTCTAGGCTGGTGCAAATTTTAAGCACCAGATCTGTTCTATTGCAAAAAGAGAAATGGGGTGCTCCCCAAACATGCACATATTTTTTGCAGAGTCTGGCGGCTTGCATGGAGGATCCAGGCTTTGGCAGCATCACTGTGGCTGCATCAATGCCTGCCAAGTGGATTACTGACTCATTGGGCTTAAACTTAACAGGGCCCTCATTTCGAGACCCAGCATTTTTCAAACTAGGAGTGGCATTGGCTCAGGAATTTCCAGCGAAAGGGGCTGATTGCTGAGGATTTGGGTGAAGCTGGAGCGCCGCCACAAGAACTCGAAGTTGGGCGCGGCTCCAAGACGCGGCTTCTAAATTGTTTAAAGGCACATGGAGCTGCTTGGATTTGTTCACTTGGGAACCTGTTTCCAGGGCTTGCGGCCCCTTGATGACTTTGCCCTGAGTGGATTTGACACAGTGGGTTCGGGGCTGTTTCGCGCATGACCTGCTTCCCTAGTTTCGGGTTGAATCAAGCTGGAAGTCGTCCCAAACTTTCTCGTTGTCAGCCTCCACGATTGTTGGACAGAGAGAATTCGGGGGTGTCTTTGTTTCGAGGGCGCCCTTTCGGCACACCTAAGTAAACCGAAGCTCATCCTACACAATTCCCCTAGTTGAAGACACACTATTTGGGGAACCCCCCAAAAAAGGTGGCGCGAAAATCGTTTTTTCGCGCGTTTCTACGCGGGAATCAAAAGGCATTTCCTTTTGGTTTCGTTTCTTACCGACCCAGGGCTTCCTGAAAAAGAGCCACATCCACTTGCAGAACGAAATTCCCGAGGCATCAGCCTGGGGATGCCCTGTGTGCTGCTGACGTTTGGCGCCTGGAAAAAAAACCATGCGGGATGGCTTTGGGGGTTTTGGGGGTTTTGGGGGTTTGGGAGTTTGGGGGGTTTGGGTTTCGGGGTGCACCCACCCAAGCTAAGAGGATTCCCACAAGGGGAAACCCTCACAAATTCAATCAGTTTATTCGCCAACGCCATCAAAGTTCGATCACACTCTTGGGAAGCTCGAAGTGGTTTGCAAAGAGATCGGTCAGTCTTGTGGAGACTGTTGTTCCGAGCCATAGGGTCATTCTGCCAGCGCCTTCCTTTTTTATATCCTCACTCAACGCATTTGATATGAATTTCAGTAAGGCAAAACGCTACTCCAGGTTCGCGCTGGTGGAAAACCCGGATTTGGGGACAGCCACTTTCTGGCACCAGGAAATCCCGGTGCGAGTGGGAACAAGTCATGGGTCAGCTTGTGGCAGCTGCCCGTTGGGCCACTGAACCATGGGGTTGAGTGCTTTTGAATTCCCCAAGGCCATGCCTTCTCTTTGGACGCTAGGAACACTGCAACGAATTACCCTCAGGTTGGAAGATGGCGGACAGGATGTGGTCTTTCAGCCAAACGAAAGACGCAGAGGGTCTGGGGCAGTTCGACCCTCTGCCTCGCGGGGCAGTGGTTTTCCCACCGGGTTTTGCTCGCCTTTGTATGTTCTTTGCCAGGGAACTTGGAACCATTTGTTTTGCCATCCTCAAGCCGATTTGTTCCACAACCATTTTCCGAAGTTGTATTTTGTAAACAAGGTTATTTCCCCTCTCCTACCTTATGTTTGCTTCCCCCTAGGAGCCAGGGGCCTTTTAGTCCGGGAGCACCTTTCTTTTCGATTGAGGGGGCCTGTCCTTTGGCGAAGGCCCTCGTTGTCATTTGAGCGGAGGAGCGGAGCATCTTCTTGGTTGGTCTTTGGTACGACCTTGACCCTTTCAACCTTTTCCACAGTCCCCGCAACTCGGTCCGACTTTTTGCAGGTCGACATGGTCGACCGAGCAGTTTCCCATAGCTTGGGTTTCCCATAGCGAGGCGGTGCCAAGGTACATACCCCTTTTACATACCCCTTGGGCAAATGAACCTAAAAGGCTTGCTGATGTTCATGGCCCTTTCGTCAAAAGGGGTATATACCCTTTTTAAAAGTGGGTTGGAAACCAGGGAAGCCAAGGAACCGGTATGAACAAGGGGTGTACTTCCACCCTTAGACACGTAGCCCAGCTTTTACTTAGGCTGAAGTACGGCATGGAGATCTGCTTCGAGTCCCAATACCCGAGCCTGTTTGGCACGGGGCCGAGAAAGCTCGAACTCCGAAATCTGATGTTGGGGGTTGTCTGAAGCCGATGTGTCTCTCGTGGCTTGTTCCAGTGCAAACTTGGATTGACCAGGACATGAGCCTTCTGGAGGGGAACCGTTTGGTGGTTTAAACCCGGTTTGTTCCTCTCTGCAGATGGGGTGCCTTTTCAACAACCCCACAAAACCCTCCAAGCAGGCAGAGCCATTCCTTGAGCCAGGTAGCCCTTCTAGGTGCTTCGGGTTTCCCCTGGTCAATCTTTGGTTTTGCAGACCCCAATTCAACGCCGAACCTCTTGGTGCTTGGGATTTCAAGCCTCTTGCGCTGAAGCCGACCCACATTTTGGCGAGGTTTGCGTGCACCCATTCGTACGGACACGATGTCTCTTCAAACCTAGCACACATGCACAAACACCTTGAACACCATTCAAGTCAGACGACCGCCAGAGGTCGAGTCATGTCCAGGGGCATTCTTTTGGGTGGCTGAAAACTCGGTAGACTCCACTGGTTTGGGTTGGGTTCAAATAATGTTCCAGGTCTGCGGGCAAATTGATCTTGCTACCCTCGCGTGCCTTCAGTTGCCCGGTATTTCCCAAAACACTGAGAGGGCCAAGGGGCCGGCCGATATCAATGAGGCGAGAAAACGGGTGAGTGGAGCATGCGGGAAGCACTGGTTGCCGGGAACCCAGCGCGGCAAGGGGAACAGGGGCCTGTCTTGGTATCTCCAATGGGTTCTGGAAATGGGGTTGGTCAATATTCCTGGCCAAATGACCGCAGGTAACTTTCGCTCAACACATTTTTTTCCTAGTGGGCTCAAACAAGAAAAGTCCCCTAATGGTCATCCCTTGTTACGGGACGCATATTGGACATACCGTGGATGGTTGCGAAATCCATTTCGCACCACTGGGAAACCATGGTTGAAACCATAACGTTTGTTGGTATTTACGTTGGGGAATCAAATCAGACACCAGGGTTTCTTGGGTGGTGCCTAAGAGGATTTCGTCCATCCAGAGTAGCTGGGGAATCCAGGGTTTATCTCGGGAGCCGGTGCCTTTCTTGGGTGCGAACCGGAGCCTCACGGCCAGCTCCAAGGGATTTTTTTTGTTGGGAGCCGGGTCCAGGGGAGTTTGGACACGGAGTTCGTGAATAGAGAACCGAGATCAAGCCATTTAAATGGAGGGGACTGTGAATAATTGAAGTATCTTGTACAAGTGTACGCACCAACATTGTGGGATTCCCCAAGGATCCACGATGTTTTATTTAAGAGAGCGACAGACCATGCAGATGTTTAGAGCGCCATGCCGAGTTGCTTGCTGAGCGGTGAAACTGGGGAGGGGGAGGGGCTGACCCCTGGAATTCCGGGGTATGCGTTCCTTCGCCCCTTTCGAGGGGAACACCAAGGGCGATCCCCCCCCCCAATGCGAGCAGTGCTCAAAACCTTTTGTGGATATTTTAGCAGACATCATTCTACCGGGCTTCATGCGTCTTGTGTTTGTGTAAGGCCTATGTAAACCTGTGACCACGGCGGTAGAAACTTTGTAGCCATGTCGTGGGTTCATGTTCGAAACGTGAGTACCGGGAGTCCAATTCCACCTGAGGCTCAGTCAAAGTTCCACAGTCTAACTCTATGGTCAATTTGTCAGGGACATAAGGGGACCCATTGGACCTAAATCTTCAGTAAAAAACATTGGACCTAATTATATCGACACAATTCGCACTGGCAACAGCAAACACATCAACCGTGGCTGGGCAATTTCCAGGAACGGATCAACACGCTGCTGATGCGCTTGTTCGACCCGGACTGCACCTATGCTCGCTTTGGGCGCAGACACCTTAGACCTTAGGCTTTGGCATGGGGTCGTTTCGAGTTGGGCAGGCAGCAAGTTGAATAGGGGAACCCGCAAGATGGAGGTTTCCTTTTCGCGTGCCTGTAAACCAGCCGCAACAACGGTACCCTCAAAAAACACAAACCTATTTGTTTACTCCCTTGCAAGTTCACATGGAACCCAAAAGGAGTCCCCAAAATGAAGATTCCGTTATTAGGTCTTTTGGGTTCCCCATCGGGGGAGTAAACGACCAGAGCCGTTTCACCAGACGGAGGTCGTTTGAACCGTCTGGTTCGGTGCAAAGGTTTGAACCAGGGGGTTGCCCAAGTTTACCCAGGTCCATGGGGGAATTGTGGGGTCCTTTTGGTTTCGCTTCGCTGGGCTTCCTTTTGATTTCCCGAGAAAAACCAACAACAACAAACTCGGGGTTGCCGCAAGGCGGCTCTTGTGGCTCAGGCTTGGATGCCGCGGACAATCCCTTCAACCTCTACAAAAGGCCGGGACCCCGGCTCTGAGCAGCGAGGTGTCTCCGTGACGTCTTTGCTTAGCAAAGGGTATAGGGCGCCGAAGTCCGGGCACAATCACACCCACAAAAGCACGCCCAAAAAATAAAGCAGGGTCTTTGCACTAGCGGGGTTGGAAGTTGAAAAGTGGTTCTTTTTTTCTCAGATGTTAAGGGACTGAGAGGTAGATGGAGTGACGGGGGGCTCACCGCTTGTTTCGACCCAGGTTGGATCTTCTGGCTTCTGCAAACAGCACCTGCCCTCAGTCATCGCACGAAGCAGAGGCGTTTGGAGTTTTGAGTCGCTCCAAAGACCCTGGGTTTAACGGTGACGGGACCCTCAAGGCTAAGCGGCTCTCATTTTGAAGCCACGGGAGTTGTTGCGTTTCTACCCGGACGATGTGGCTAGAACCACATGCCTAAACGACATTGAACAATGGCTGGGTTAGTATAGCCTATAGTAAGCTCACAGTAAGCTCCATAAATCTTCATAACCATGATGCCAGAACCCAAGGGCGACATATTTTTGGGCCTGCCCAATTCAAGATTAGCATTCTTGATGTGGGGCGATGCTTGAAAAAGGGGAGGTTCTCATCTGGGTTCTGGGTCCTCCGGTTCTCCAGGAGTTGAGTTTTCTCCTGTGATGTTCCGAAGTTCCCCATTCTCACCAACGAAACGAGCGAGCCACGGTGCGGAAAACCAGCCAATTCGTGTCTTAGCTTTGGGGCTGTGGACGTTGATGTGGATATTTGTGAAAATAGGCGGCCCCCCCGGGTGCCCAAGATTTGGCTTTCTCCGGTTGTTGGCTTTCTCCCTGTAAATTCCTCCTTGTTTTTCAACCAGACCCATTTCTTTGCTGTTGCCCCAAAGGATATGGGAAAATCAAAGAGTCCAAAGTCTTCTTTTCGGAAGAAGTCGCGCGACCGGGTCCCGCCTCGTCCTCGCCTCGTCCTCGCCTCGTCCTCGGAGCGAGGGATTCAAATGCATCGAGGCCCCAACCGCCGGCGCCTGAAGCAGATGCAGGGCCGGGCGAACCGCGCCGAGCCCTCGGGCTGTGGACACGTGGCGAGGTGCCTTACCCTCCCAGTTTTGCCTGGTTGTTGTTGGGAAACATTTTACATTTTAGCTTATTGTGGTTTAGTGGACTCTCTCAGCGACTAACTTGGAAGTGCCCGGCCAGATCCCTGCAGAAAGACGACTTTCCTCTTGGAAAGGGGCCAAACGTGCACATCCGTGTTGGTTGGTGGGAGGGTACCTTTCTTGAGGTGAGTCACAGGAAGGAACCCGGGTAGATGAAGCGGTTAAGGGTTCACCATGCACCAGGTTTTGATTATGACTCGTGTGTCTGAGCCTCCTCCACTGCACTTTTCTTTCAGCGGTTCTTCCTTGCACTTTCTGAAGGATATTTGAGCGTAGTTTTGACGGGGGGCGATGGGGGGAGGCGCTTTAGGGACGTTCGTTTACCACTCCTGGAGTTGGTCGCTTTGATGACCTTTTTGGGCTTGGACCATTTTAGTGGCAAACAAACAGTTCCAGGACTTCTTTGGCCAGTCCACTCAGGAAAGTGTTCGTTTCGGTGTCTTAGTTGAGGACAGCCACTAGGGCCTCCCTCACACACTCTTAGAACCCTTCTAAGAACGTTCTTTTTGAGAAGGTTCCAAGATCCTTTCATGACCAATTCCAACCTTTCCAGCGGTCTTTCCGTGTCCCCTTTCAAACTTTAAACATCACCCGCCCAAGGGAAACTCATGTTCAAATGGCAGCCAAAAGTTGATGTTTCAATCTGCAGCTCATTGAGGCAACGCACTCAAACTGAACCATCAATCGTAGCTTTCGAATTCTGGCTCGTCCTGTTCCGGAAACCCTTTACCGCAATTCCCTGCGGTGAACCCAAGGGCCCCAAACAATTTCAATCGTGGGGCCTTAAAAGAGGCTTGATTTTTGGTGCACCAAGCACCTCATCTCGGTTCCTGGGAATTGATCCGTAAGAATCCTCGACTGGATTGATCCGATGCTTGAGACTGGAAGCGAAGCTCAAATGGGTTTCTCTCCGCCTGTGAAAATTGGAAAAGGCCTTGCGTCAAATCGCATCACCTGCATTGCCTGCATTCGCGTTGACTGGAGGATTGATAGGTCTTTTGGGTGAACTCCTTGCCACGGGAGTTTCGCTACAGACAATGAATGCTGTCAGCTCTCGTGGTTGTACCCCCAGACTAACATAGAGGGATCCCTGGCAGGAAAGTTCCCAGGGGTTTAAGCGCATGTCAAAAACAAGCCTGGCGGTAGTCTTTTGGAGGGAGGAAACATTGAGAACCGAAAAGAGAACAACGCATCAACTTGTGACAAAACCTTTCAGAGGTCGCGGCCAGATGGCTGCTTGTTTGGCTGGCTGGCTGATGCCAAGTGGTTTTCTGGGTTCCTTCAGACTTGAGCAAGTTTTTGCTACCGAAACTAGGAACTTGGCACAGGGAGGAAAAGGTTGGGCACTTTGTGCATAGTCTCAGGTGTTCAAAATAAGCGCGGAGACGACTTGGGCGGCTGAAGGGTTGCGCGCCCTTGTTGGTTCTTGTCTCATGTCTGGTCATGAATACAAATAGCGCCCAACAAACCTCGCGCTCAGTTGGTTCGGGGCAACCTTACCCGTATATTCTAGTTCCCTCGTGTTCTGGTTAGTTCTCAATAATGACCAGCCGATTTCCCACCAAAACACGCGGTCATCAGGCTGGCATAAGCGTGGACCCTGCCTCTGCCCGCAAACATTGGGTGATGCGAGTTTTTATCCACCACGACCACAATGGTTGCTTTTAACGGTGCCTCGTTTTTGGTTTGCTTTGGAACCCCAAACACATTTTTTGGCCCCCCCAAATTGGGTGGCCATTTGAGGTTCGCTGTCGGTCCATTTGGGGGTTTGAGCTTAACATGTTCACCACAAAAGCCAACCAATCAACCAACCAACCGGCCTTGCAACCAACAATCCAAAACCACAACCGACCAACCAAACGAGCTACCAACTTGCCAAACAGTAAAGGTTTGGTTGGGGTTGCTTCTTGCAGAGAGGCCAACAGGAAGCCAGTTGAGTCGAGCCCACGCCTCGGCTCCCTCAGGCCACTCCTTTAGTGCGTGCTGCTCTACAGGTGGGGGGTGGCAGGGTTTGTGAATCAAAATTAAACCACCAGGAATTGGACCGCAGGTTTTAGTCCATGTTTCTATTTACCAGGTTTCCATCTAACAAAAAAGCCAAAAGATAAGCATACCCCAGTCTTCCCCATTGGTTTGGGGGTTGGGCCATGTCTGAGGATTTTTTCACTTAGCTTCGCGATTGAAATTTTCAGTTTGAGTGAGAAAGAAAACCCCTAAACCCTAAGCCCTGAACCATAAACCCTAAACCCTGAACCCTAAACCAACCGCGGGGGGGGCAAGAAGATTTGGGTGAGCGAAGCCCAGGCAAGAATTAGCATCCGCATCCGCGCCCCTGGTGAGCTGGATTTCTGCGATTGGATAATTTTTATGGTTCAAGGTAACAGGGTGTGTGTGTGTGTGTGTGTCTTGTGGATGGGGAACAAGGCTTAACAGGCTTCCTCTACCTCCAAATCTCCAATCCCACTTGCTATTGTCAACTCCAAAGCTGGTAAAGTTCATGTTTGGACTGCCCCCAAATGGGTTTGGCTCAAAATTCGGGAACCCAACCACATGTGGTATTCCCCTTGGCTTCCCCTTAAAACTAACCAAAAGGGGTTCCCTGAGAAAGGACACCCCCGACGTATCCCTGCTTGAGTTTATTTCAAAATGACCCCCCCCCCCCCGCAAAAACAGAGTGTGGTTTTTGTTGATAAACTACTCCAATAAAGGGTACCCTCCAAGAATGATACACCGGACTTGTGCCTCACTTGTTTTCTCCTTTTCCAAACCGAGGATCGCTATTTTAAGGCGGTTCTTTCTTTGCGGTTTTCCTTTAGACCCATCCAAAAAGGGGGTCCTTTTCATTTTGAGCCACTTTCCAGGTTTCCTTTCCCAATTTCTTCATTGCTACCCCCCGTTTAAAATCCCTTGGATCGTCTGTTCGCCATGTTGCAATTCCATTCCCCGAGGATAGGATGTCCATCTGTGTCTTTCTTTCGGGTGACCCCCGCGAAAAACGGCGCAGCGGCTTTCCTTTTGGTTTCCCTTTAAACCCAGCCAAGAGAGTGTTTCTTTTTTTTCCTCCGGTTTCCTTTAAGACCTGGCAAGACACGTGGGACGATTCGGGCACGGTCTGCTCGAAGTGAGGGCACCCCAGCGGCCTTGGATTTGTTCCTTTCGCCGAGGCGGGGCAGGATGGCAAGGGCGGCGTGGGCACGGAGAATCCGAAGACCCGCAGCCTGCTGGCGCGATCCCGGAGCGGAAGAGCGGAAGAGCGGAAGGGGGGGGGCCTCTTGGGTCTGTGGAAGGTTGGCATGTTGTTTCGAGGTGGCTTTAAAGGAAAGCCCAAAAAGGAGACTCACGTGTTTTTTGAGCATGGCCTCAAGGTGAAGGCTTTCTCTTGAAGGGACGTTCAGGTTGATACACTTCCCGGAGGTTGAGGTCAAAAGGAGGTATCTCTACCTCCTTTCAGGGTTTGGGAGTACATTGGCTACGCTGGCCTGGAACTTCCGTCCCCTTTTTTGCTTGGAACATCAACGCAATCACGGGGTCTCTGCCCAAGGTTCCGGAGATTCGGTTCCAGACATTTCCGCCACTTTTGGGGAAAGATACCACCTGGGCTTGTTATAAGTGACCCCTGCAAAAGAATGTGGGGCGGCGCGGGCGGGGGGGGGTTCTCTGGAAGAAACCGGGGGGCTGTTGGAGACGCTCCTTGGCCTTGCTGCCTTTTTGCAGTTTGAAGGGATGATCAACATCTCATCAGTTTGCGTTTGTCAGTTTGGTATCTATCATCCAATCATTTCTTTTTCATGATGTTATCTTTTGCGGGAGGTCCAATCCCCCATGTATCATGTTCATCATTTTGGTATCCTATCATGTAATCAATATTTTTGGTTAGTGAAGTTTTTTTTTCTTCATTTTTTCTTCTTCTTTTTTTTGGAATGTATCATCTAATCATGTGTTTTGTGAGTGATGATATCTTTTGCGGGAGGTCGAATCACCACTCATCGTTTTTTCGGCTTTCCCTCTGAGTGCCAGGTGCATTCGGAGCTTGGGGGGCGGGCACCGCTGGCCAGCGTGGTGGCTCCATCCGGGGACCGGAATCGTTGGAACCGGGGGGTTGGGGTGGGCGTAGGGCGCTCGGTCCCCCAGTGCCCTTCTGCCCGTTTTTTGGGGAGGGAGGGTTCCCTACTTAAAATAGACTGCAGAAAAAAAGTCGGGTACCCTTGTTCTAACCTCTCTACTGGAGGACCTAGGGACCTAGAGGGTGTGGGTGGGGAACCCGGCGGGTTGAGGCTGGGTGTAGGGTGGGAAATCAGCGAAGGGGCGAAGTCGAAAGAAGAAGGAGCATTTGCAGGGGTCTCAATGTGAGCAGTCCCTATCGGCCAGTTTAGTGGGTTTTACTTCCAGGCCTGTATAGCCATCTTAGTAGAAAGTGAACGGGTTTTGGGACGCTGCTCATGTGCCTTGTTCGATCCATAGATTTCACCATGTTGAGTCATCTGCGGTGCTCGGACTCGATGCAGTCTCCTTTTCCGAGTTCCTGCAGTACTCACCGAGAAGATCGTTTTGATGGCAAACAACAAGATAGGAAGTGTCTTTTGCTGCCCTCAGGCGAGCGGTTTGCAAGTTTCCCTTGCAACCGAGACCTCCGGTGCCCTTTTCGCAAACCTTCAAACAAAAAACCAACCACCAAAAGTTGGTGGGGCACAACCCTGCAGAAGCATAAGCTACTATCAGCTACCAACAACAAGACATGGGGTGGAAAATCCACTTTTTGGTTGGTACAGGGTGTCCACATGCGAAGCGAGAGAGTGCCGTTTCAGGATGAGAGGTATCGGGACAAGCTGCTGCGAGCGGTCCGGCGCTCAGCGCCCGGCAACTTGAAGGGTACAATCTGCTCAGAGGGGGGGGGGGTTTCCAACGGTTTCCTTGGGGTTCCGGGGGGGGGTTCTTCAAAGTGGAGCCTTAAAATGGCAACGGTGTATTCTGAGTTCTTTTTTAATACCAACCCAAAGGGGCAGATACGTACACGTGCAGATCTTGATCGCTCTGGGCTTTGTTCCCTTCTCTTCAAACAGACAGCAGCGGTGTGTCTCTTTTTGTTGTTCTCTCTCTCTCTCTATCTCTCTATGGACACACTCGGATACACACACACACACAAATACATGTGCTGCTTGTCAGCTGGTGAAACATATCACCTTTTCGTCTGCCGGTTGCTACATCACCTTTTGGAGCCCTGAAAAGGCGGGCGCAGCTTGGGATCTGCGATCGCTTAGGCCAACAGCCGGATAGGTACTGAGCTGCCACATCTGCCCCAGGCGCGCAGCTTGCGCTCGAGAAATGGATGACGAAAGAGATCCGTGAAGAAAGAAAGGTCAAGGAGACCTCCCAAACTAGTCGCTCACACTCTTGGTGTGTCTTTTTCAGGGGGTCCCTTTGGGTTTTCCTTTCAATCAAGCCCAAAAAAACATACCATCTGGTCCCTTGACCCCAAGTGCTGCATGGTTCGAGCTGAGAGTCGGAGGTGAAGGCTCGAGATCGGAGAGGCCGGGGAGTGGCGCCCAACCCGTCACGGTGAGTGGAACACTGGGCTTGGTTGACCCCAGCCTTTGGGGATAACGTCGAGTTGCGACGAAGCCCGTTTTCCTCGGAAAGGGGGTCATTGGGCCCAAACAGGAGGATGTTCTACATGGCCCTTTTGATTCCATTTTGATTTGAGGAGTAATGTTGACTGTCACATGTTGCACTTCTTACTGGTGGTTACTAGTCAAGGAGTCCCCTGTGAAGCTTCCATGCTTGAGAACATCCCCAGACTGGAGAGGATTCTTGTCAACTCGTTGCTTTTCTTTGTCAGTCAGCATTTTATATGTGTTAGAAGAATGGCTCCACACCCCGCCAAGGGCGCGTGTTTCAGCCGAAAAGCATTGACTGACATGACCTCGCGTGCTGGGTACTTCCAAATATCGTGTTCCCCTTAAGATGGGGTGTGTTTTGTGGATAGCCCCTCCGGAAAAAAGTAAAAAAAAGGCCCTCTTCTGTGGATGGCCCCTCCTCCTTTTGTGGATAGCCCCTTTTGTGGATAGCCCCTGGGAAAGGAATGCTGCTCTTTTGAGGCCCAGGATCGCAGTTGGCAGCTCAGTTTCGGGCAGAGGATCCGTTCTGAGGATCCGCGCAGCGGCTCGTATAAGCGTTTCCACCAGTTGTTGGGTCCCCCGAATTGTGACATAGCCCTTTTTCGGCCGCAAGCGTGGGCCGAGGTCGGCGCGTTAAACGTGAGCTGGCCGGGTCCTGGTCCTTTTTGTGGCCTTGCAGATTGAGTTGTACAGGGCAGAGCAAGATGCTCTTGCCGCGGAATGCCCGATCTTTGCTCGGCTTTGGCGCAAGCAGGAAAGAGTATCGGGTCCGACAGCATGCAGAGCCGGCTGTGCATTGGTGCCATAGTGAAAGCTGCCTTTGGGGTTGGTGGGGCCGGCCATCAGTCATCGGCCGCTTATCAGAATTTAGGCAACCAAGAACAGGGCTCCTAGGGATGCCGGACTGGTGCATGCGCTATGAGAACTGGCGTCCTTGCCGCGGTTCCAAAAGCTCGATGAACCTGGATCGATACAGTTCAGGAGCCGCTCTCCCCCACTTTGAGCACTGTGCCCCAAGCACGGCTCTAAGAGTCTCTTTTGGCAAGCAACTGGCTTCCAGCTTGGAGCATGTTGGAGCAGCAAGCTTTGCATGCACGCGCGAATCGCGGTCATGCTGACCTAGATCGCCCTCGGATGCCGATCTGCAGGACGAGTCCCAAGCCATTGAACTCTTTGGGGGAGCTTTCACACCTGTCCAAGCACGAGGTGAGCGCATATTTGTTTCCGAAAGGGGTGTTGTGATCAAACTGTCGGGTACGTTACCAACCATCTTTTTAAGGGTCGGGGAGGCCCCGGGCGCTTCTATTCAGCTAGGACTTTGGACTCAGCCCCATTCTTTTTGGGGGGGGTTGAGGGATGATTTGCCTTTTCCTGAGCCCGGCGGCTGGTTGGCTGGCTGGCTGGCTGGCTGACAAGAGCCAGCATCACTTGCATCATGTTGGACAAGTTCTGTGCTGATGCTTCTGCCGCAAAACTGGCGACGCTGGGGATGCCCTCCAGAGCGTTAGGAAGCTCAGCACATCTGCTGGGGTCCTGCGGCTGTGAGGGCGTCTGTTCAGTGGGCAAAATGTGTTTAGATGACCAGACCCTGATGCCCTTAGCCAAACCAGAGAGAGGTTGTTCAATGCGAAACCCATGACTCCAACCAGGGTTGAATCGCCCAACCGGGCTTTCCAGGACGGAGCATTGGACGAAGCACAGAATGTTGGTACACAGCCTGCCGCTGAGAGAAGCGGCTGCGAGCTCAGCTTTCGTGAGCGCCGTGAGCCGTTGCCTGCAGGCGAGGTGAAGGTGAGGGCGGAGGGTAGGTTTGAAAATGCCCGACCTACAGACGAGGTGTGCTTTTTTTGGCCCTTTCATAGGCTGGTTTGAAGGGAAATCAGAAGGAACACCAAAGCAAAGCTGCGAAGGACCTGCAAGTAAGGCCCAGCAGCCACTGCATGGTTTTCAGGGGCGTGGGTCAGCCCTTTGGGGCTTTCTCAGAATGGGAATCGCTCCCCTAAAATGGTTGGTTTCCCTTTAATTCCCTTTAAACTCCGACCAACCAGGACTCCCCAAGTTAGAGAGAGCTCCCCTGGCAGTGAACTCCAATGCCCGGCACCTTCAATCACTTCGGTTCTGAAAAACTGGCTGCCGTGAGCTGTTTTCCTAACTGCGGGTGCCGAGTTTTTTGAAGTGGCCGAAGGTCTGTGTCAATGTGCCCAAGAGTTTGCAGTGTCCCTATAGTCGGTGTCACCGAGAGGGCGTGGATTGTGGGATTTGTGTAGTTGTTTCAAGCATGCAAACCACGAATGATATCCATAGGCCGAGGGGGGTGGGGTGGAACGAGATCTCAGCGGAATCAAGCTTTGTTGAGATCACATTCCACATCCACCTGGACTTGGGGCACACCCAAGGCACATCGCTTGCCATGCGGTCGTTTTTTTTTTTTTTTTTTAAGCTCGCTCACTGAGTTCCTGCACTCGAAACTTGTTGGGAAGACCATTCGAGTGGTAAATAAACATGTTCAAGCTGTTTTTTGCCCAGTCCACTCGGGAAGTGTGTATTTCCTGAGGGTGTACCCAGCCAGCGAACCGTTCCAGATTTGGGTACCCATTTACCTTCAAGCCCGCCACAACCCAAGGGCGCCGAGGAGTTGCCCGAGGAGCCGAAGGCAGATGGGTGACTGCAAAATGGGGATATGTGTTTGTGTTTGTGTTTGTGTTTGTGATTGTTTTTGTGTTTGTGTTTGTTTTTGTGTTTGTTTTTGTGTTTGTGTTTGTGTTTGTGTTTCTGTTTCTGTTTCTGTTTGTGCTTGTGTTTGTGTTTGTGTGTTTGTCTCTATGGAGGGGACGTCGCGGGGATGCCAAATTTAGGGCACAACTACTGGAACCACACCCAAATGAGTGGAATCCCAAAAGCCTTTGTCGCCACTGTGTTTTGTTGTTGCGCTTTTCTGTTTTATGTTTTTGTTTGGCGGGGGGAATCAGGTTCAACCCCCAAACACGATCCCGCGATCGATGATCTGTATCTTTTTTGGGGAAATGCCGCCAATGAATCTGGGAGTACACCCCGGGGTCCACATGAATTTCGTAAGAGGGGTAGTAGCTCGAACCCGCAGGAAATTCGAGGAACTTTGAGAATCCCTCCTTTGCATGTGCTACGCTTTGGCAGCTATGGTCCTGACGTGTAAATCTGTGCGCATTTAGTGTCGCATTGTTTAAAGAGCTCGCTTGGCCAGCAGGACATGGTCGGACATGTTGACGAGGATGCTGATGATGGTGATGATGAAAACGATGCTGTGATGATGACAGTGATGGAGGCCTCAGTAAGGTCATTGTGAAGGGTGCGCGGCCAGGGAGGGGTTTCAGGCGGCGGGTGGTTTGGGCCATTGACATCTTGAAATGGGGAGGCACTTGGGGGCAATCCTGGCCATTTTGAACAGAAACACGCAGACACAGCCACAGACACAACACGCACACACACACACACACACACACACATTTTTTTTCTGTAAAGGTTATCCCACATTCACCGTGCCTGTGAGAAGCCACTTGCATTTCCTTATTTCGGGCAATTTGGAAAGCATGCTGGGGGCAAGAACACACACACACACACCGAATGACCATTCTGGGCAGTTTACTCACCCAAACTCCCATGTCAGATACTACCAACCGGGCCTTCCAGAATTTTTGGTCGGCCCTCGCTATCACCCTACAACGAATTCTCCACTCCACCACTCAGTCGTAGGAGCACGCGCGCTGCCCGTCTCCCCGTCCAGGTGCTTTGGGGGGGGGGTTGGTTGGCCATGATGAATCTTGCTGGTGCAATAAGTAGGGAATGAACCTGGGGATTCCCTTGAAGGAAGCCATAGAAGATGGCATCTGGGGGTCATTCCATTTCTCATTCCCTGCTGAGCACCAAGTAATTTGGGAGCGACATGGGTCATGAAAAAATCAGTCCGCCGGAGGGGGCCCTGAAATGTGGGGTCTTCGTCTGGGGGTGTCCCCCATCTTTTGACAGATGGCTGTGGGTCAACACCAATTTGGGATCCCATTTTGGGGGATCGAATTCAGCACCCAGTTTCGGCTTTCATTTTAGTGGTTGAATCGGATGTTCACTGGTACGATTTGGATTTTGGGCCCATGGCCAAGTCCTTGTGGCAATTCGTAAGCCTCAAGCTTTCAGGCCCTGAGGCTTTCTTGCCAGCGCCGTAAGTGGTGATCCTCCTATGCTTTCACGAATTTCGGGAAGGCGGGTGGGCGTACCCTTCGAGCTGTGCTCAGGCGAGTCGGCCAAAGTCTTTGCAACAGGCCAGTTGGCCGGAAAGACACCTTGCCGCTTCCCTTAAGTCCCCGCATGGGCCGGAATGAGCCTGGCGCATGCTTGATGTCTTCGCTTGTGCAAGGGGTCTCGAGTTTGGCTGCAAGTTCCCCAGGGCTCCTTAAAAGATACATTTTGCAACCGATTGAAACATGGCTTTTTCCACCAAAATAAGGGGAAACCACCATTGACAAGGCAATGTTCAGGTGTATAATGTAAGGATCCCCGTTCCCTTGCAGACCGCCACCAAATTTCTCACGGCAGAGGTGACTCCAGCAGTTCGAAAGCTGCCCTGATTGCGGCGCTGGCATGCTTGGGACACGAGCGTTAAATGGATTCTCAACCTGGGCAAGTGGGTTGCAACCAAGGTTACAAGTGGGACAACAGGGGTTGAGGGATTTCACCATGGTAACCAACCTGACATAGGCTGAACATCTATTGGGCAGTCGGCATGGTATGTCTTTAGGTAGGGAACTCGCGCTTCGTTGGTTGAACGATGGCATACGTCCAACCATTTTTGGTTTCGGTGGTTCCAGCCATACGCGACTTTTGGACGAGCCGCCAAGTTCGGTCATCCCCTTTAGTGAGCCACCGGAAAAAAAGAGGAATTTGCACCATCTGGCTGTGGGTCAAAACCAATGGTACCATTTTGGGGTAGGTGCACCATCCATTTTCGAACCTATTTTAGTGGGGATTGGGATGTTCACTGCAGTTACGATTTGGATTTGGACCATGGCCATCTACTTTGACTCTAGCCGGGTCTCAAAAGCAGTTGTCCTCCTCGCGTTTGTCCGGTTGCCAACCGCCAGGCAACTTGTGTGCTGGTGGATGCAATGGCTCCACTCCTGCAGGACCAGGGGACACAAAAATACACACGCACACCTCATCGCAACTGCCCGCTTTTTTAGGCGATTGTGTCAACCCCTGACGAAAAAGGTGGTGGTTTCCAAATCTTACTCCATAAAATAGGCAGGCATGTGGAATGAGCAAAAAGAGGATGTGCGGAGGGGTAGTCCTTCACGTGCCGGGACCTCCCCGAGACACTTCCCCCCCGGCTTTTCTGTTTGCAGGCTCACCTGGTTTTTGGAGTGTCCAAATGTCTATGACACATGCAACTGGATTGGACTTTCCTCCAAACATGGACACTTGGGGAGTCGAACTTCCCAGCACATCCGACTTGATCATAGGTGTCCTTTTTGGTCAAAAAATAGAGGGCAATTCCTGGTTTACCTGGTGGTTCAATCAACTGCCAGGGAAACCAATCTACTTTCCCCAAAAAGGACACCTATGAACTTGATCGGTTGACCTCGCAAAGCCAAGCGGCTCTGGGGGCACTGCATTGGCCAGGAGCAAGCTTCGAAGAGCGGCCGCCTTGGGGTTCGGCTTCGGTTTCGTTTTGGTGACTGGTGCCGCAAGTGCTCCCCTGCAAAGAAATCACATGGCCAAAACCGGTTA